CCTTTTTGTTCCGTCCAAGTAACTGATATTATGATATAGTTGACCAATTTCCACGACTTTTTCTTCATGTTCATAGCACTATAATGACAAAGAGGAAGATCATCGCTAAAACCCACAAAATGGCAACTTTTTCGTCAGTGTTAGGCAATATGGAAGCCTCCGGATAGTACTTATCCAAATACATATTTCTTTCTCGGATTCTTGTTTGTTGGGTATTTTTTGAGATAAGTTTGACCAAAAATACTTGATCGTCTAAACCCCAAGCGTCGGATCAAGAATCAAAATACTTGCATTGCCTAAGTCCTAAATGTCGGATCAAGATAATATTACTGTCTATACAATTGTATATATAAGATTCCGTAAATTTGACCGTGTATTTAAGCCTTGTTTGCCTCCATTTTCTGAAATTCATTTTTAACCGCACATTTCATATGATCTACAAATTTTAACAACTTTTTAACCACATATTTTATTAACTTTTATCAAAATTTACTAAAAATTTAATTTTTAACTAAATCAAATAGTGGCTAAGTTGGTACTATGTTTTATTAATTTCACGATGAATAAAATATGCCACGTATTGGTTAAAAAAAACAATTTTTTAAACGAAAATTTACTGTTCATGAGCTTTTTTAGGGTTGACCATCATGTTATTCCAACAAGGAGGGCCTAGATACCTTAATCATTTTAAAAAATTAATTAGATCTTGATGCAATATAGTAATCCACATAGCATGTGACTGCAATAATTGCAAAATTCTTGAGAAGAATATAAAATGTCCATAAATGAAAATATAGAAATGGGAACGATAAGATTAGTGTATTCTAGTATGGATATGCATCAAGAAATGATAATATGATCCACAAATGAAGATAAATTAAGGGGAATGACAATGAAATATTTTCCTCACACCATTTATTCACTGTAATATTTTGCTGTGAACAACTTTAAAACTGATAGATCGAAAATACTTCAAATATATAAATCAAAAGAAAGAAATGTTTATTATTATTAAACACAGATAGTGCGAAACGAAACCATAATTATTAAAGATAATAATTTTTTATAATAAATTTAAAACTGTCTCCTGCTTTCCGCCGCTGACCGGACAAATTTTTTAATAGTGCCGGCCACCTTTGTTTTTGCAAAACTTCTTTTGATCTTTCTTTTCTTATCAAATCAGTGGGTTGTGTTCTGTTGGATTTTTTGCTTGTTCACGAACCCAAAAAAGCCAGCTTTAAAAAGAGAACCAATTGACAATGTCAATCTCGCCGAAAACTGGACCATGCATGCATATATATGAGGATTTTGTCCATTAGGGTTGGTACAGGGATGCCAATGAGTCGAGCCAGCTCA